CGAGATCGCCAACAGCGCCTCTGGGAAGTGAGTCGGGCTGTGCCAGGCAGGGAGGGGCAGGATGGAGATCAGGGAAAGCTCCTTCCCCAGAGGGTGCTGGCACTGCCCAGGGAATGGGCACGGCCAGAGCTCCGGGAGCCCTTGGACAGCGCTGCCAGGGTGGGAGCACTGGGGTGTCTGCAGGGACAGGAGCTGGATCCTTGTGGGTCCCTGAGCTGAGTGACCTCCCCGGGAGCTGTGCTGGCTCTGGGCACAGCCTGACCCCTTCCCCCGTGCAGGTCAGCGCTGCTGGACGAGAAGCGGCGGCTGGAGGCTCGGATTGCCCAGCTGGAGGAGGAGCTGGAGGAGGAGCAGAGCAACATGGAGCTGCTCAACGAGCGCTTCCGCAAGACCACGCTGCAGGTGAGCCCCGGGCAGCTCTGCTCTGCTGGCTGTGACTGTGACAGAGGCCCTGGTGGCACTGAGTGACCTGTCCCCTCCTGCCAGGTGGACACGCTCAACTCGGAGCTGGCCGGCGAGCGCAGCGCAGCCCAGAAGAGCGAGAACGCGCGGCAGCAGCTGGAGAGGCAGAACAAGGAGCTCAAGGCCAAGCTGCAGGAACTGGAGGGCTCTGTCAAGTCCAAATTCAAGGCAACCATTTCTACTCTAGAAGCCAAGATTGCACAGCTTGAAGAACAACTCGAGCAGGAAGCCAAGTAAGGGGAAAAGACCTGCTTGCCTGTGTGGGTTGAATGGCTGAAAGTTCCAAGCTGGATGTTTCTGAGGGGCCTTGGGTTTACTGTCTGGAGACTCCTGTTTAGGGGATAAACTTTAACAAGGCAGCTGTAGAGTAACTGGGGCTGGGAGTTCCAGAATGGATTTTTTTCCTACCAGCTGCATGAGTTCTACAAGGTGTCAGTGTCCCAGAGCCACAAGGTGCTGCAGGAGTTTCCTGGGACAAGCTGAAATGTCCCCTGGTTGCTTGGTTAGGGGAACTGCTTATCTGGGACAGCTTGGAATGAATCTTACTCTCTCCAGAAGTCTCTCTGCAGTCAATTATCCATCTGTCCTTGCAATCCTATTCTTAAAATTCACTTTTTTTAGCTGGTTCCTCCCACTGTTTGCAGGTGGGGCTTGTCCTGCCACTGCCTCTGTCCTTTCTGAGCTCTGCAGCAGGATTGTGTTACTGGTTAAGCAGCAGCTTGAAAGCTGCTCTGTCCAATCTCCTTGTGAGGGGACCTTCTGAGCCCTCTTTGTCTCATGCTCACATAGCCCCAGGGCTAAGGCTTTGTGCTCTGAGAGCTGCATCCCTGCATGCCAGCCAGCCCCTGTGCATGCATAGCTGCATTGCTGTGTCTGGCACGTTCAGAGAGCTGCACCAGTTACACTTCAGGGGGGCAGATCTCAGTTCCCAGCCCTCGGCAGTGGGACCAAGGATGGCTTTGGCTGTTGCAGGGAAAGAGCAGCTGCCAACAAGCTGGTGCGCCGCACGGAGAAGAAGCTGAAGGAGGTTTTCATGCAGGTGGAGGACGAGCGGCGCCACGCGGACCAGTACAAGGAGCAGGTGGGTGGGGGTCAGTGAAACCCCCTTGGCTGGGAAGGGCTTGTGGAGAGGAGCTGTATGGGAAGGGAATCTAGAGAGGTGATTAAACCAGCAGGGATTCTCCTGGTGGGTGTGTGAGCTCAGCTGGGACGGGCTGTTCCCACCCTGCTCTCCCGGCGTTCCGGGGTCCTGCACGAGGCTGTGTGGTCCCCAGTCAGGGCTGCAGCTGTGGGGTGACCCCGAGGGCTGGCTTGCTTGCAGATGGAGAAGGCCAACGCCAGGATGAAGCAGCTGAAGCGGCAGCTGGAGGAGGCGGAGGAGGAGGCCACGCGCGCCAACGCCTCGCGGCGCAAGCTGCAGCGCGAGCTGGACGACGCCACGGAGGCCAACGAGGGGCTGAGCAGGGAGGTCAGCACCCTCAAAAACAGGCTAAGGTCAGTGCCCCTGGAACACCGGGACTGGGATTGATCCGAGCCCACGGATGCCATCCCTGGGGAACATCCAGCTGGGGAGCTGCTGGCATCGGGGATGGCTCAAAATGGAGCCTGGTGAGGAGAACAAGGAAGCAGCCAGATACTCCACAGGGATATTCTTGACAGCTGCAGGGATGGATGGGATATTGGGAAGGAGTCCTTCCCTGGGAGGGTGGGCAGGCCCTGGCACAGGTGCCCAGAGCAGCTCTGGCTGCCCCTGGATCCCTGGCAGTGCCCAGGCCAGGCTGGAACAGCTTGGGACAGTGGGAGGTGTCCCTGCCATGGCAGGGGTGGGATGGGGTGAGCTTTAAGGTTCCTTCAAACCCAGAGGACTCCAGGATTCCATAAGGGTGTTTGGGGGTGATCTGCCTAAACCAGTAGCTGCTGTGTCAGCTTTTAAAATAATCTTTCCAAATTGACTGCCAGGGAGGAAGAGAGGTGAGACACTGGGATGGAATTCTTTACTCAGAGGGTGGGCAGCCCTGGCACAGGTGCCCAGAGCAGCTGTGGCTTCCCCTGGATCCCTGGCAGTGCCCAAGGCCAGGCTGGACAGGGCTGGGAGCACCTGGGGCAGTGGGAGGTGTCCCTGCCATGGCAGGGGTGGAGTGGGCTGAGCTGTCGGATCCCCCAGCCCAGCCCAGCCCGTGCCATCCCATGCCATCCCATGCCATCCCGTGCCATCCCGTGCCATGCCGTGCCGTGCCGTGCTCCCGGGCGGTGCGGGACCTCCCCAGCTCTCTCCCTTGGCAGGAGGGGGGGACCCATCACCTTCTCCTCGAGCCGCTCGGGCCGGCGGCAGCTGCACATCGAGGGCGCCTCGCTGGAGCTGTCGGACGACGACGCCGAGAGCAAAGGCAGCGACGTGAACGAGGCCCCGGCCGCCCCCGCCGAGTAGCGCCGGCCCCGCCTGCATGCAGAGACCTTTCCAGACCTTGCCAGACCTTTCCAGACCTTTCCAGCCCCGGCGGGAGCGCGGCCAGCGCCCTGCCCTGCCCTCGGAACTGCCTTGTGGCCGGAAAGCTGCCTTACGACCCTCGGCATGTGCTACAAGGTTCCTTATCATAGGTCAACCATGTCTTAAGGCTCTCCAGCCTCACCACACTTGTACCCTGCTTCAGATATAGGTACAACTGCTTTTTTATATATAGTAAACAACCGGGATCGTCTCTGTTCAGTGCATCTCTTTTCCAGATACTCATTGTAAAGCCATTTTATAAAGCATCATGTGAAGGATGAAACTTTTTTTTATCGATCCAGAAGCGTCATTCCCAGCGGGTGGGGGGCCAGGACAGACCCCTTGCCGTGGCTGTGCATGCCTTGTGTCCAGCAGCATCCTTCAGGCTCCGGGCTGGCCGCAGCCTCTCGGATCAGTGAAGACCAAACCGCTCCCGTTTCTTTCTTTTCTCCCAGTCGTTGTGATCCGCACACGAGCCCTGAGTGAACTGTGAAAAACGGCCTTGGGAAGTGTTAGAGGGAAGTGTAGGGATGAGTGAGTAGTGCCCGTTTTTATCCTGCAATCCCATTTGAAGTGTTCTCAGCACCTGCTCCATCCGTTCGTGTCCATGCAGTCCAGGCAGACCGAGGTGGGTCCCGTCCCCTGCGGGGTGCTCGGAGCCCCGGGGCCCTGCAGGCACCGGCCTGGGAAATGTGAACACCAGTGGGAAATAAACACAGCACAGGCTGAACTAATTTATTAATGTCAGGCCCTGGGGGCTCTGGGACCCCCGGGCTCCCGTGGGGCCGGGGCTCAGGGCTCCCGCCCTGGATGGATGGATGTTGCCTGCCTACAGTTAACATGCCAGTGGATGTGAATCCTTTTTTTTTTGTTGTTGTTTTGTTGTTGTTTTTTTTTTATTTTGAGCAGTATTACAGTGAGTAGTTAGCGTTCTTTTTGTTTAAATAGCTGAAAACTGACATTACAGAAAGTGCCTTAGACACTACAGTACTAAGACAACGTTACATATATAATTTGCCTATATAACAATGATTTAATGTATTAATTTTGACTGTGCTTCATATCATGTACCTCTCTAGTCCAAGTGGTATTATTGATATTAGTGACAATGAATCAGTGTTAACTAGGAAACTTCCTCTGCCACATGCTCAAAACCCATGGATTTCCCTTTTTGGTTAAAAGCTTTAACATCTGTCGCAAAGGTTTTGTTGTGTGTGTTTGGATATTTTTAATCAAACTGGCTGTTGACCACCAGGCGTCTGACTGCAAATATCTTGTTTTCTTGTATACCCATATTTCTAGACAATGATTTTTGTAAGACAATAAATTTATTCATTATAGATGCGGCCGCCTGCTCTGTTTACTTACTGGAAGAGCTCTCCCGAGGCTGGCATAGACCTTAATAAACGAGATATGACTGGAAGCTGCCTTTTCCCTTCTTCCTGTTTTGTTTGCTTGGTTTTTTTTTTTTCCTTTTATTTTGGTGGGCTGCTCGGGGTGTCTGTGTGGGGCCAGGGCCCCCAGGACATGGGCAGGACACAGGCACAGCCCCGGGGAGAAAGGGATGGAGCAGCCCTGGAGGGGATGGAGCAGCCCTGGAAGGGATGGAGCAGCCTGGGAAGGGATGGAGCAGCCCTGGAGGGGATGGAGCAGCCCTGGGAGGGGATGGAGCAGCCCTGGAAGGGGATGGAGCAGCCCTGGGAGGGGATGGAGCAGCCCTGGAAGGGATGGAGCAGCCCTGGAAGGGATGGAGCAGCCCTGGAAGGGCCCCAGCCCAGCTCCTGTGCACAGGAAACTCCTTCCAGCTGCTCTAAGGAAGCAAAAATCCCCTGGAAGGCTCAGCTGGATGCTTCCAACATGTCCCCAGCTGAAATGTCAGTGCCAGCAGCAGAGGCTGGGATGGCCCCAGCACTGCCCACTCCCCTGTGCCCAAATGAGCAGCATTCCCAAGGGAAGGGCTGTGGGATAACGTGGCACTGCCTGGACACTGGCCCCTCCCTGGGGCCTGGCAGAAAACCCTACGGGACAAAGTAAGAGCCACGGCCACTGGTTCTGCAAAATCCACTGATTCCACATTAAAAGAACTTTATTTTTGGAAGATTACTCTCATTTGTTTTCATTCTTTTGAAACCACATCGTGTCAGTGGCACCAGGGTGGAACGGTACATCCTACGGAACATGCCAGAGAGAGGCTGAATAAATAAAGCTACAAAGCCCAAGTTATGTACAAAGACCTCAGGCAAAGGTATTATGTTTACAAATCTATGTACAATAAAACAAATGTAAACAGTCAAATGCAGCAGAGGATGCACAGGAAGGAAGGACCATACAAACCCTAATGGCAAAGGGACAATCCCACCTCCACTGCTGGGCCAGTGGGGTTTTTTCCTCAGCATTTGTAACTCAACCACCTGGGAGCTGCAGAGCCCCTGCCGGACGACTGCTGAACCCTCAGCTCCAACCCTGGCTCCATGGGCTGGTTCAGCCTAAAAATCCACCGGCTCTGAGGCACACGGACAGAGAAACCACACAGATGTGCTGCTTGAAAGACCCACAAGGTGCAGCCGCCCCAAACTGTCAGAGCAGCCCTCAGGAGAGGCTGCACAGCCCCGTCCTACAGCACAGGGCGAGATGGGCAGGGGGCTCCTGGGCCAGGGGGAGCAGCAGCTTCCTAAAGCTCCCATGGGGTTACCGTGTGTGGGGTGAGGGACGGAGGCCAGCAGGGCCAGGGAGCTGTGGGGCAGCCATGGGGACACCCGAGGGCACAGCCCTGGCCACAGCACTGCCCAGCAGGGCAGGAGCCCAGGGAGAAGAGCTCAGCCATGCCAGGCCCATCGGGGCAGGATGGGCACAGAGCCGGGCTCTGGGTGTGTGTCCAGCTGTCCAGCAGGGATGGGCCCGGCCTGGCCGGGCTGGAGCTGCTGATCCAGCCCTGCTCTGACTGCCCCGGCTGCAGCTGCCCCTGAGACAGGACCTGGGGCTGGCTGCCAAGTGCAAACAGCCCCAGGGCCACTTCTGCCTCCCCGGGCACTGGGAGGGGACAGGGACAGGGGAGCCTGTGACAGAGTGGCCAAGGCTCTGTCAGACCTAAGTGAGAGGAGAGGGAAAGCCAAGGGGGCCAGGCTGGGCCTGTCCCCCAGACTGAGAAGGACTCGGTGTCCCCCAGGCAGAACAGGACCTGGTGTCCCCCAACACAGCAGGACTTGGTGTCCCCCAGCACAGAACAGGACTCAGTGTCCCCCAGCACAGCAGGATACAGTGTCCCCCAGCACAGAACAGGACCTGGTGTCCCCCAGCACAGCAGGATTCAGTGTCCCCAGCACAGCAGGGTGGCAGCTCGTGGGGCCGGGGCAGAGAAGGTCCACTAGAGCGAGAGCAGAAAACAAACTGTATTGACAGGACATGGAGGGCCTGGGCTCGGGGTCTCCTCTCGGGGTCACGTTCCAGCGGGGTGGGAATGGGGAGGGATCGGGAGCAGTTCTTCTCGAGGTGGGCTGAGAAAAGCATCCAAGTCCGAGCCCGGGGGCTCATACGCTCAGGGGGAGCATTCCCGGCGCCGAGGAGGGTCGGGAGCCCCCCAGGCCGGGGGGCCCTTGGTCAAAGCCGTTCACTGCCCTGGGGACAAGAGAGAGCCCGTTAGGGGGGCACAGCCAGGGAGGCACCACGGGGACCCCGACCCTGCTCCTCCCTCCTCCCCCATGGCCGGGAGCTGGGCACACACCATGGTCAGGAGCTGGGCACACGGGCAGAGCTCTGCTGCTGGCACAGTGCCTGCTCAGTGCGGGGCTGGCACAGCCTGGCCAAGGTGACTGACCCAGGGGGTGAGCAGGCACAGAGCCTGAGCCCTCAGGGCTCTGCTGGGGCTGTGTGGGGTCAGGGCATCGCCCTGGGGCTGTGTGGGGTCAGGGCATCCCTCAGGGCTCTTCATGGGTCTGTGCAGGATCAGAGCTCTCCATGGTGTTGTGTGGGGTCAGGGCATCTCCCTGGGGCTGTGTGGGGTCAGGCCATCCCTCAGGGCTCTCCATGGGGCTCTGTGGGGTCAGGGCATCCCTTGGGGCTATGTGGGGTCAGGGCATCCCTCGGGGCTGTGTGGGGTCAGGGCATCGCCCTGGGGCTGTGTGGGCTCAGGCCATCCCTCAGGGCTCTCTATGGGGCTCTGTGGGGTCAGGGCATCCCTTGGGGCTGGCCCCAGCTGTCCCTTCCCCAGCACTCAGTGCCCTGTGCCCGGAGCTAAGGCACAGCCCCGTGTCCCTGTGCGCAGAGGGGACACACGCACACTCACACACACTCAGACACACTCAGACACTCACACACACTCTCACACTCACACACACTCACACACTCTCACACTCACACTCACACACACTCCCACTCAGCAGTGTCACCAGTCCCCACAGAGCTGCAGGGGAGGCTCCTGCAGCCCAGCATGCAGGGGCTGCCCCTCCCCAGCGTCCTGCTGCAGCTGTGCAGCCCCTGCCCTGCACAGGGGGTGGCACAGGAGCCCCGGGCTCCAGCAGCTCTTCCAGCTGTGCTCTGACACCTCTCCTGTGAGGAGCTGCAGGCCCATCCAGCCAGGAGCAGCATTCCCTGCTGGAAATGTCCCTGCAGGGGTTCCCCTGACTGCCTGTCCCTGCAGTGCCCTGGGCTCGGTGTCCGTGTCCAACCACTCCCTGCCCCGATTACTGATTTGGACTCGTTAATCTGCATTTCAAGCTGTATTTCGTACTTAGCACCTCATGCCCAAGACTCCCTCAGCTCTAAGTATCCATCAAATCCTTGCTGGAAGATTTTTCTGGAGCTGACCAGCCTGGCCTGAAGGGGAAAAGGAGCTGGTAAAGCACACCTGGAGGCCTGGAACTGCCCAGGAGCTCTGGCACTGCCCCAGCTGCTTCCAGCTGCCACAGCTGTGCTGGGCAGGCACAGTGACAGGAGCAGGGACCCTGCTGTCCACACTGTCCCCTCCCTGCTCTAGCCTGGCCATCTCCCAGGCCCCTCCTTTGCTCTCCTGTCAGCCACAACCACAGCACTGCACATCATCAGGTCAAGAACCACAAAATGCTGAAGGGAAATCACAAGCAGAGGGCAAACCTTCCCCAGGAACTCCATCCACGAAGCCATGCTTCCTTCCCCTGCATCCCTGCTGTGACCAGTTCCATCAAACATGCACTTACTGGAGTATTAAACATGAGGAAAGCAAGCAGCACTCAGGCTTATGCTGGCAACAGGTCACAGCAGCAGAGAGGTTTATTTCAAGTCAGGAGGAAGAGCAATTGCAGCCTCAGGCTTTGAGCAGGGCCCATTAGTGTGGCACTACCAACTACCTGGTGCAGTTACCAGAGCCCCAGAGCTGCCCCAAGCCCCAGGTTACACCACATGCAGCCACTCAGAGCAAATGAATTCATTTACCCATGACCAAGGTGGGGAATATGACCTTCTCACGCCTAGTGGAGAGAAAGGGAAAGTTTATGCACACAAAAATGACATTCCTGAGCACAGCCCTTGAGGCAGCAGCTGGGCCAAGGAAGGTGCTCAACCAAAGCTCTCCTGCCTGAGCCCTGCTCTGCATGGGCAGCCAGCACAGCATCACTGCAGCTGAGCCAGCACAGCTCCCCTCTCCCTGGGAAACCTTCAGCAAGGTGGGTCAGGGACTGAAAAAACACCCGCATTTCCTGTCAGGGCTGGGGGTAACAGTGCAGAGACACCTCTCACTGCTGTGTGTGAGCACAGGCACTTCTCACACTAAACTTCAGCTCCTTTCATTGAAGCAGAGCCCAAGGGGGTCACAAAACCAGCCAAGAACAAGCAGGGTTACACTCACACCGGGAGCAGGGTTACACTCACACCTGAGTCAGGGTCACACTCACACCTGGAGCAGGGTTACACTCACACCTGGAGCAGGGTTACACTGACACCTGGAGCAGGGTTACACTCACACCTGGAGCAGGGTTACACTCACATCTGGAGCAGGGTTACACTCACACCTGGAGCAGGGCTGCACTCACACCGGGAGCAGGGTTACACTCACATCTGGAGCAGGGTTACACTCACATTTGGAACAGAGCTGCACTCACACCTGGAGCAGGGTTACACTCACATCTGGGTCAGGGTTACACTCACACCTGGAGCAGGGTTACACTCACACCTGGAGCAGGGTTACACTCACATCTGGCTCCCAGCTGCACTCCCAGCTGGCTCAGGGTACCCTCCCAGCTGCCCCTGCCCCAGCACAGCCACCAGGGGCTGCCCGGGGCTGGGCCAGCTGCCAGGGCCAAGCCAGGCTTTGCAGGGCAGCCCTGGGGCACAGCTCAGCACTGCCAGCCCCACCTGGGCACAGAGGGCCTGAAGGGACGGCCTGGGGACAAGGACAGGACAGGGGCCTGCAGCATCTCTGGCACCTGCACATGAACCACTTCCAGCCCTGCTCCTGCCCACGGCCACCCTCAGCTCTGCTGCAGCCCTTCCTTCCAGGCTCTCCAAGCCTTCCTCGGCCCCAGGCTGCTCCCCCCTGGGTAAGGCATGTGATGCCCATCTGCATAATTAAAAGTGACTTATTTGTCACACCACACCTCAATATAGCCACACTGCTGCTAGGAGCTGCCATAATCCCCCCAGCACTTCCCTGCTCCCTGGAACTGCAGGAGCACTGCTGGGGGAGGCACACCCCAGCCCAAAAGGCTGATTTGCACATGACTTCAAGGCTGGGAATTCTTCCTTTCCAAAAGCAGCAAACAGCAGCAGCTCCAGAAGCCCTCAGTGCCACTTTTTTAAGGTGCAGCTTTCCCTGCTCCCCACACAGCCCCACTGAGGATGAATGTGGGGAGCTCAGCCGCCTGCTCTGGCACTTCCAGGTTGGAAACAACTCCTTTCATTCTCTAAATAAATGCAGGATTGAGGAAGTGCTGAGCATCAGCATTAAAGTGCACCGAGGTTTAAGATGAAGACATGCAGGGAGCATGGAGGCTGTTTGCCCTGTGCTTTCCATCCCTGACACCCACAGGGCCCTGTGCTGTCAGGAGCTGAGCAAACCCTCCCGCAGAAGCACTGCCAGCATCCCAGAGGGAGCATCCCTGCCTCCTGGCTGGCTCACAGCAGGAGGAGCCACAACTCCAGAGGGGTGTGAACACCAGGACTCCATCCTTCCCCGGCAGGGAACACCCCTGCCAGCCCTCAGCTCTCCAGGTGTGGTTCTGCACTTCCCCTAGCACACCTGCAGCCTGGGCCATCACCCTCCTCTGCTCTCAGATGCTCTCAGAGCACTCACTCCTCACTGCCTGGGCCGGTTCCAGCACCAGGAGACGAGGCAGGACTGGCACTGCCACCCCCAGCCCTGCTTTTGTCCCTGCTGCACAGGAATCCCCTGAGCCTTCGCTCCAGGCTGCTTCTCCTGCAGGAGGAGAGGTGTGTGGGCTGAGGAGGAGGCACAGCAGAGCCCCAGAGCCGTGCCCAGACTCACCCCTTGTCGAAGAAGGACGTGTGCCCGGGGTGTGGGTACTTTGTGCCGCTGCTGCTCATCACGGCGCTGCCCACGGTCCCTGAAATGTAGGATTTCCGTGATGCCTGGTCCTTTGCAAAGTTCCTGCAAGCAGCTAATTTGGATTCTAAGGCCTGTGAAAGGGGAGGGAAAAAATAGCATTAAAGAAGTAATACCATTAAGAGGAAGTTTTTTGCCTCTCGTGAGCCCAAGATTGCCATGATAGGACTTCAGTGCGATCACCCTTGGCAAAAGATTGGGAACAAAGCTGTCATTTCCTCGTCACCCAGCCACAAAGGAAACACACAGATGCTGATGCAGACTGCCAGACATTACTCAGCTCCACGAGGGCTCAGATTCTAGAGCAGATGAGCTCTGAAATAATTACCCAAGATAAGGAAGCCAAATCCTAGCAGAAGTTACCCAAACTTGTTCAGCAGCTGCCTTGAGCTGATCAGAACACTGAGAGCCTAAAGCAGAACCCTCAAGCTTTGAGAGGGGCTGTGCACATGGAAAGTTGGTTTTTTCACCAGGACAACGCCTTCTGGAATTTCTTTCTTAATCTTGGCTTGCAAAATAAAGTCAATTTCTAAAGCTTAACTTCCACTTTTCCAAAAAAAACCTGGTGATTTTTTTTTGCAGAGCAGTGCAGGAGCTGCAGCCCTGTCTCGGTGTGGCTCAGGGCAGGCTGGTAGAGCAGCTGCTTGTTTGGCATTTCCTGTCCTGGCAGAGTAATCACAGGGATTGTCACTAAGCTGCCCAAATCCCCTGCAGACTCTTACTCACAATGATCCCCTTTGAAACGTGTCACTGCCAGCCCCGACTGCCCTGCTGCCCTTTCAGAGCGGGGCTGAGCTCAGAGAGGAGCAGCCAGGCTGTTTTCCATGGTCAGCTCTGCAAGAACAACTCTGTAGTGCAGCTCCTGGCAGGCTCAGCCACAGCTCCACTCACACACAGACCAGGGCTCAGAGAGAAGCTCCTGGCAGCTCAAAAGCCATTTCTCCTTCCAAGGGGAGAGCCTGGGTCCTGAAGAGCCCTGCAGCAGATGTTCAGAGCAGTTCTTCCCTGCTGGCAGTGCAATAATCCCTTTAAAGGCTCATGCATTTCACTTCCCCACCAACCACACATGGCAGCATTTGGCTTTCTCCTCGTTTATTCCCTCACTTTCTCACCAAACGTTTCCAGGCTGGGTTTTCTTTCAGAGGCAGATCTCAGGGGGTGAGGAGCTGTGCCACCCTGAGGGGTGAGCCCAGCTCCTCCTCACCCAGGGCCTGAGCTCCAGCTCTGCAGCCCAGGCTAAGGTAAGAACTAAGTTGGCAGTGTCTAACCCAGCACTTGAAAAAATTTTTATTCCAAATACGAATTTTGTCACCCCAAATGGGACTCAGAACTGTAGGATCAGACTTTAAAAATCAAAATAATTAAAAAAACTAAAGCATTATGGAATACTAAGCAGTGGATGGATGATTTGGCAGCTCCAGCCTGTACCCAGCACTGTACCAAGGCTGTGCCTGAGCACAGGGACAGGAGCCCCAGGGAGAGCCCAGAGCTCAGAGCACTCACCCCCACTTTGCGTAGCAGATCTCCCACAATGTTGAGTGCAGATATTCGAGCTGAAGGAGTGAGTGGGCTGGTACCAAACCCATTTGGTATAGCTGCAAACACAGACACCTCTTATTACTTCACTCCTCCACAGTTCAGGTTTTCCAAAAATTTAAATAAATCAGATTCTACATTAAAAAAAACCAAAAAAACCCCAAACATATCTACAATCTTGCTGCAGACATTTCATACAATTACCCACAGTAACTGCAGGATCACTAGCCAGGGAAAATGATAAAGCTTAACTCCTGCCCTGGCTGCCATTCCCCCCCAGGCAGAGTTCATGCACTCTCCATCTGCAAGGCTACTGACTGCAATTATCTGATCAGCCAGAGCTCCCTTCCTCAGCTGAAACACCCAGGATTAATCCCTGCCACTGCCCAGAGCCCTCCAGATGGGAGAAGGGGCTGGACTAAGATCCCACTGCCCCACAAAGGGAACAGGACCCCTGAGTAGTCAGTGTGGTGACAGATTCCAAATTCCTGACCATGCTCATCCACCACTGCTGCTGCATATGTGAGCAGAATTAACAGTCCCTGCACTTCCCTGCATTCCCAAATATCTTCAGGGCTCCACAGCAGAGTGAAAACCCCTGCCTGCCCCCAAAGGCAGTGCCCAAGCCCCACTGTCCTCTGCCATGCTATTTACTCCTGATTTACTCCTGAGCTGCACCTGCTGCTGCCCTGGGATTCAACCACAGCTCATGGAAGAGTGGGAGATGCACACCCCCACATCCCCCTCGGGCTCCTTAAGGAGCATAACCAGACCCCACTCCTATGGATGGCACCTTTTGGGGAAGGAAAACTATTTTCTGATCCTTTTCCAACGGGTGTGGCTGGCAAGGAGAGAGAGGCCTGGACAGCTGAATCCATCTTCTCACAGTCCAGCGTGGGGGAGCTGGGCGCTGATTTTCGGGTCACCTCCTGCTGCCTTTCCCTCACAGCCAGCTCCTGCCGGAGGTCTGAGGGTTGAGAGAAGGAAAAAACCCACTGAATCCCATATTAGTGATTGATTCTCTCACAAAGACTCTCTCTGCTCATTTGGGAGGGGCAGCAGCAGACACTGCCCAACAATCCTGGGTTGGTGACTGCTGCTGCTTCCTCCAGCAGAGGGACAGCCCTCAGAGCAGCCCCATCCCAGAGCAAACCCCTGCTGCCCCACACAGCTCCCTGTCCCTGGGATGGGGGCAGCTGATTTGCCTCAGGATTTCTCCCCATTTGCAGTGAGAGCTCCATGTTAGCAAAGCTGCAGCTGGACACAAAGAGCTGCTGCTGCTGCTGCTGCTGCTGCTGCTGCTGCTGCTGCTGAGCCCAGCTCCTGCTCAAACACAGCCTGGAGAAACAGAGCAGGGACCTGACCCTCTGCTCCTCATCCCCTACATTCTCCTCCCAGTTAATAATCCAACAAGCCAAAGGCAGTCCAAGGGTTGCATCCAGTTTCCTGATGCCCTGACAAATAAAAGAGCAGATTGCAAAGGACAGGGAAAAGACTGGGCTTAGAAAAGCCTGGCTTTACCCTCACCTCCTCCCCAGACTGCAGCTTATCCCTTCTCTTCCCACAGCTTTTTGCTGCAAAGAACCCCCAGCACAGCCAGCAATGGATCTCCCAAATCCTCAGAAAGAGGCACACAAACATTACAAGTGAGCTGCTCCTTTTTGGGCAGGGCAACTTCATTTTCTCAGACCTCTTATTCCTTGCCTCAATCTGGTACCAAAGCAAAATTAACTGCACATCACAGCTTTTAAGCTGTAACAGATATTTAGGGCTGATTTTAGGTAAAACAGCAGAGCTGAAGTGAAAATCTGTCTGGGCTCCCAGAAGAGGATCTGAGGCTGTTCAATCAGAAATGTCATATTTGAGTTTGACAGTACCAGTTCTTTTAGAGGCTACTGTTCCTGCTTGCTGCCAGGGTGAATAACTCACAAATGCTAAAAATGTCCAAATGACTCATCTAAGAAACAAGATGTCTGTTTTGCTGATTGTGTTCTACAAAACAGTCCCCTGGGTTTTGCTGGTTTTTCCAGTTTTCTCGCCCTAATCTCAAATTACAATACATATCCTTCCTCAGACAGTTTCTTTCTTCATCGTTATTTCAAAATAAAGTGCTTCCAATAAAACTCTCGATTTCTGGGGCACAAACTTGCTTCAGAAAGGTTCATAAAGGAGAACAGCAACAAAAAATCCCAGCCTGCTCCCAGCTGTGTTCTTGCACTCAGCTCCAGGCCTTAAATGAGGAAATATTTTAGAAAGCTCCATTTAGGGAACAAAGCTGCAAAGCACCAACCTCTAAAGCCATTATTGGCTGGCACAGGCCTATGAGCAGGTCACCTCCACTATCAGAGAAATCACTTTACAGCAGCATTAAAAATGCTTCCCCAGCATCCTCAGTGTGAAATCCACTGGGGAGCCCCCAACTCCTGATCTTATCCCAGAACGCCATCCCAAACATCTCCCACGGGTCTAAACACAGCCTTTACCAGAACAGCTTAAATTACATATTTAAGGCAATTTCCAAGGGGCTTAGAAGGAACACAGGAGAGATTTTTTTAAGAGTTACTTGATCATTTATCCTGTATTTCCCTGTCATTTCTTGTACTTTCCCTTCCTGTAAACACACAGCAAAAGGAACTTCTGAAGCAACTTCCTCAATTCTCTTATATCTGTGGAACAGAGTATTTTTGTGTTAAAAATCCCAAATTCATCAATTATTAATTCTGCCCTAAATGAGGAACATTTTCTTTTTGGCTACACTGGACATACAAAGTTAGCACTGTTAGTAAAATCCAAAGCATCCAGTTCAAGTCTCATCATGTGAGGCTTTCTAGAAACATGAGCTTTGCTGGCTGCACATCTCTTTTAGCAAACCAACCCTGCAGCAGGAGCCAGAACCAACCAGACCAGCCATACCTCTTGCTTCATCCTTTAATCTCTGTACAGAGACCAGCAACGACTCCTTGTCATCCAGTTCACTTTCTAAAAATGCATTTCTCTCAATAGCTTGGTTCAGCCTTTGTTCAAAGTCTTCCAATGAAACTATTGTTGCCCTAGAAACAAAATCCAGAATATTAGGTTCTTCAGCTCAGCCAGCATAAAAGCTTATTCAAACCATAACAGAAGGCAAATGTTAGCAGGGCTGTGCTCAAGGTAAGCATTTAAAGCCATGGAAATGCTTCTTAAAGGAGGAATCAAAGAAACAGGAGAAAAAGATGAGGAGAACACGATAGCATCTGGCTCTCAGAGATGTACCAAGGATGTGGGCAAGAGCCAGCCCAGAGCTCCTTCTCCCCAAGCCATGCATTAATCAGTGCCCCAGCTCAGGTGGGGCTGTGCTGCCAGGGCTCTGCCCAGGCACAGCCCAGCAAGGTGGGCAGCAGGGACATTCCTCCCAGTTCCTCCCAAAACCAGTGTCAAATGTTAGTCACGAGCTCAAGAGCCTTGTGCAAACAGGGCTCAGCTCTCAGATCTTCTTTCCAGATGGCCAGAGGCTCATTCCTGCTCTCCCTGCATCAGTGGCAGGATTCCCACCCAGCAGAAGGGAGGCAGGACCTCCTCCCAGGCTGGGTGTTCCCAGCAGCAGCCTGCTCATCGCAGCACTGGGAAGGGCAGGACTGCTCCCTGCAGCTGCTCTGCAAGGCACCAGCAGCCTGCCCTGGCCGGGCTGATCTCAGGGACTATGGAAAGCAGCAGACTCTGACTTCAAAGGGGCTCTGAGGCAGCAGGAGCACAGCTATAGTCACTTAGCTGGGGGCACCAAGGGCAGGGCACTGCCTGGCTGGCTCTGGGCTTGCTCCTCACAACACCAACCACACTGCCCCACTGCCCTTCCTGCTGCCACAGGAGCTGCACTGCTCAAACAGCCCCAAGTCTTGGGGGTGTTTGGGGTTTTTCTGATTGTTCTCCCTTTCAGGAACAATGAAATGCTCGAGCTGAGTAGCAAAGAAAAGCTCTTTGTGGTGCAGACGTGAAGGGAAGAGGAGGGTTGCAGCCTTCACCTCTTGGCACGTTCCAGGTCATCGTTGGCCTGCTCCAGCTCCCTCACATATTTGTGCAGCTGATCTTTGATGGCCCTTGTCTGGCTCAGGTCATCCTCCAACAACGACACCTGCTTGTAACTCTGGGCGTACTGGTGCTCCAGTTTCTCCTGAAACAAAGAGCAGGGAGATAAACATCAGCTGCTGGCACCGGCCAAGCCATCAGCACCAAAAAGGGACAAAAAGTGTCACTGTGTGTGCACAGTGCTGGTCTGGGAGTGCTGGCAATTCACAGCAGAAACTGGAGAGGGAGAAGGAACAGGCTGTGAAGGCCAGAGCACAGAATGGCAGCCAGCTCCCCGTGGCACAGCTGCCTCTCAGGGATGCATCCCTGCATCTGCTCCCCTCAGCCGGCACTGACAGCTGCTCCAGGAAGGCAGGGAGAGATCCAAGAGCGCTGCCTCCCTATCAGTGCTTCTGCCCTACAGCACCCACCCGACAGCAGAAATCCTCTGATGTGTCCTTTGCCAAAAAGGGGCCACTGAAATCTGTCACAAAACCTCCAGGCCCACAGACTCATCCGCAGCAGACTGAGGAATTCACTGCCAAAAACCCTCTGAGGGCCTATGGAGCAACACCTGAGCTCATGAAACACATCCTGACCCTGCAAGTATAGCTGGGACTGGAGACACAAAGCAGTCCCATCAACTCTCCTTCCACTGAGCGAATTTCTAACCTCTGCCTTACTAAATAAGCCAAGACTGCCCAAAATTATGCTTTTGCAAGATTTCAAGAGAGGCAAGAACTTGTTAACATAGAGGCATCAGCTGAGAGCTGCCTTGTGCTCATGCACATCCCTCAGCAATTCCTGGCTCCACAGATACAGCTCTGAATGGACGTGGAGACTCCCTGGAAGATGTGCACAAATCACCCATTTTCTGCTTTCTTTGGGGTCTCATAAAACCTAGGAGACCCTGAGGACAACAAGACTTTTTGCAAAGAAAGGTGACAAGGCAGTGGCCTGACAAAACCCCTTGTGTTGTGCCCTGTTGCTATGCTGACGTTCCCTGTGGAATAAAAAAAGCTCCTCCTTGGCACAGCCTGGGGAATTTAAAGCAGCACAAACTCCAGGATGAAGTTTCATGATGTGAACAAGAAAAATTCTGCCAGAAATGTCCCTGGCCTTATTTGGGGTACATGCCATGCTTCAGTGTGGATCTTAACCAGACAACTCCTTTTTTATTTGGATATCCAGTGCCTGAGAGCAGCCCAGACAACCCAAAAACAGATCCAAGATGTAGCTGAAAGGAAAAGCAACACCACCACAGAGAAAACCTACCTTTAATGTTTCCACTTCATATTTCAGTCTTTGGTTATCTGCTTGCAAATCTCTGTTCCTCTGCTCAGCCTGCACTAGCTGTGCCTCCAACTCAGCCTCCAACTCCCTGCTCCCCTCCTGGAACTCAGCCAGCTCCTCACGGGCCTCCTGGAAGCTGCAAGGAGAGGACTGCATCAGTGGGAAAGCCAGCATCTCCCCAGTTAAAACAAAACCTGCAGCTCTTCTGAAATAAAAAGCTGAGAAACGGGAGTTTTAATGCACTTAAGTGTCATCCATGGACCTCTAAGGGGAAAAAGAAGAATGGGAAAATAGAGAAATTACATTAAGCGAAGCTATTGAAGGAAATTAATTCTCTTACAACAAACCCAACAGCCACCTTGAATGCCTGTGTGGAATCAAAGCTATTTACAGGATTCAAGGGAGCCTAGAAGCACTTTGTGCTCCATTAGCTTTCACTGCTGGCAGACACAGACAATGAATTAAGCAAACATTGAACAAGATTTTGGTCAGCAACTCAAGAGAGAACAGTTTCTGCATCTCTGCACTAGCTGGAAAATTAAAGTTTGTAAAAATCATGCAGAGTCAGGGAGGCAGGACATGCCTGCCTCATACCACTGTGAGTTATTAAATACCAGAAGTAGCCACTCCACATACTCTGCTTATTAAATTTGCACTTTACCACACATAATAGCTCAGCCCTGAGCAAGCAGCAGAGAAAACCACCGAGGCTTTGGGCAACACCACATCCAGCGGTGCCTCAGATGGAATTTCTGACACACAAGAACAGTTTGGGGTTCTCCACACAGACAGGCCCCTCCACATTCCCAACACGTCCCTCCCAAAAAACCCCAAAGCAAACAAAAACAACCACTTGGAGCTTGGGCTCTTTGGCCTTGAGAGGGATTTAACTCCAGAAAAAACTCAGCCCGCCCCCCAGTCCCTCCTGATGCACAGCACTGCTCCTGGAGCAGCTTCTCTTGGCACTTTTGGAAGCAAAGCCCTGTGTCCCCTTGGAGATGCAAACCATGGGTACAGGCAGGACCAGGAGCTATGAAACACTGGAATAAAATGCAGCAGACACCAAATCAGGCACTTTTCATACCAGTAATTCCCCTACAAGAAGCTTGAAGGAACAGGAAAGATACAAGGCAAGCCCAAAGGCGCCTTCTTGTGATAAAACATCAAGATACCACTCAAGGCAGCACTTTAATTACACAAAGGTGCTCAGGATCATAAAAAGGCTCTGCTCTTGCTCAAACATGCTCAAAATATAGCCTGCAGTTCTTGGCATGGTGACAGTGGGCAAGAAACACTCAGCTCCCACAGAGATGGAAATTTTAAAGCTGGAAATCCTTTCCAGAGAATTCTCTTCTCACAGGTTTTCTCTAAAGTATCTAATAAGCATCTTGGTGTGGCCTTGCAGAGGAATAAATTCAACAGCCATCATTAAGATCCAAATCCTGACCATTAAGAACCAAATTCAGCTGCAAATCCACAATACCTTTGCTTGTACTTCAAGGAAAGCTCTTTCCAATATGCAGTTTCCTCCTTTGGACTCGAAAAAGTAGGGATTTCTTCACTGTCCATGATCAACACGACCTGCAGGACACAAACACAGGGATACACTCAGGATAAAGCTGGGCACAGCACCCCAAAACCTCTGCTCAATCCTGGCAATCCAGCCATGGCACCAGGACTTGGCACCCACAGCCAGGATGTCAAGACCCCTCCAGGGCTCATCCAGCACCCAGACCTGCCTCAAGGAGCCCCAGGACCTCACCCAGCCTCTGCAAGGGCTTGTGGAGAGCCTGAAATGAGAGCAGAAGTTCTGGTTGTATTTTGTAGCTGCCACCAAAACTCCAGGGGTGCCACAAGCCCACTCAGGCCCACAGCTGGTAATACACTCAAACTTACAGCTATCAGTTTCCACTTTACCTCATTAAATGTTCTTAATGAAGAGATTTTGCCACCACACAGTGACTGCACTACAGCTGCTTTTGGAGCTGCAAAGGAGAGCAGCGAGGAGGGTGAACACTCCAAGTGAGGCAAGCACCAACAGCTCTGTGCAGAGATCAAAACTCAACTTATTCTTCCTGCAGCAAGTCCTGGCTAATTCCTGCTTGTGTCACACGCAGGGGACAGGAATTATCCATGCAGTTCTGCTGCCTCAGACAGCCACAGGGAAGATCAGCCTGTCCCATAAATGACATGGTCACCTCACAGAGGAGTCTCCCAGCCTGGAGGTGCTCAGAGAAGTTTCCCACACCAAGGCACTGGAGATCCCCTCTCCATGAGAAGCCTGTCTTTTTGGAGGAAAATTCCCCAGGCTATCAGCCAGCAGAAGAAACAGAACCCAACACACCTTTGGTATGGTTTTATATGGTCCAGGGGACACAAGGCATCAGCACATACCAGCTCTCAGAGGTGATGAAGGAGATAAAATACAGAGCAGGACCAGGAGAATGCTCAGACCCCGGGAGATGCACCATTGCTGAACCCTCCCCAAGCAATCCCACAGCTCCTTAAGGCTTTTTTTTTTTTTCTCCTCAAAAAGCCAAGCCTCAAATTCTGTCCTTACCACACTGAAAAAGAACGGGGTGAAGCCAAGGTCCCCTGTGCTCCAAGCAGAGGCTGTGAACAACGCCTGCACCAAGCCCATTGATCAGAAGAGCTGACCTACAAGTCCTGACTCTAACAGCCATCACTTCCCAGCCAACTGTGTCCCTTCAGGCTAAAATTGTCACACTAATGTGCTCTGTATCTCGGTGACCCACATTTTTGACACCTAAAAGTGGGTCAGAACAATCCCATGCTTTCAGAGGGCAGCCAGGCCAAGCACAGCAAGGCAGAACTGGCACATTGGCTCTCCAGCTGAGCCTGCAGCTGCCACAAGCCAAGAGCAAATTGATCCAGAGAGGGCCAAGCACCTCAAAACCACCTCAAATCTCACACTGTGTTTATTTAACTGCACAGCTTTACTGCAGGAGCAAACGTGTCCTGGCTCAGGAGAACGGATGGTGTTTCCTTCCCTGCGCTGAGAAGTGGAAAGTACCTGTGGAACCATTCCCATCACAGATTTCAGACTGGATTTTCTTTGGGAGTACTCGCAGCAGCTGTTACCAAGGCAGCTCAGGCACTCCAGAGGGAAAACCCAGAGCCCTGTGCAGGAGCTGTGGATGTGGAGCTCTGTATTCCTGCAGTTCCAGGGTGGGAGCAGACACCTGACACAGCTCAGGTGTGTCCAGCAGCCCCTGGACAGCGATTCCCACTGCTGGGTGCTGTCCATAGCACCTGCCAAGCACTGATCAACCCTTCCACAAATCCTCCAGCCTTTCCCTGACCGGCTCTGCACCGGCACACCGAGAGAGGCTCAGCCCAGCAGGGAGCACGCAGACCCCAGAATAAACCAGATAAAGCACAACACAGGCCCAGCTCCCACAGCCCCAGAGGAGCTGGGCTCAGAAGGTGAGCAGCCAAGGGGCTGTCAGTGAAACTCGGGATGTGGCGAGGAAAGAGCTTGCACAAGGAAGTGTCTTACATCATTTCCTAGAAGCAGCTGAGATAAGGCACAAGACTCCTTCCTGTCTGCTCACACCGGGCACACCCTTGGAAACCAACATCTGAGGGATCCCTGCAAGCACAGCAGCCTGAGCAAGACCAGGAAGGGCTGCCTGGGGCTGCCAAGGACAGGAGGTGTGTTTGCACCCCACCTTTTCCTTCCACACGCTGGAGAGAGGAGATTCAGCCCAGCGCTGCCTCAGGCCCTGGGCAGGAATTCTTCCTCCCCAACCCACCCACATCTTTCCCAACCCTCTTGTTCTGCTTGGTGAAGGGGGTGGCAGGTGATGACTGCCCCTGCTGCATGTGTCCCACCACCCCTAATGCCATCAGCAGGGATTTGGGATCTGCTGACTGCTCTGCACAAAGCCCTGCTGCAGATGCCAATGCCAGCGTGCACTGCTGAGCTCCAGCACCCATATCCCGCTTTTTGTCACTTGTATTCCCATGAGGGGCGGGACAAAGGGATTAGAGCACACAGAGACTCTGCAAACACGCTGCTTCACGGCCAAAATACCAACCTGGGAGCTGGGAGATGCTGACACTTCCAAACCTGCTCCCAGCACACACGTGGCCATGGGAAAATCCCCCACTCCACCAACCTCTGCCCATTCCCTCAGAATGATGGCACAAAAACACGGATTGTGCAAGCAGAGAGCAAATCCCAGGAGTTACCAGACAACTCCACACATCTGATGTGTGGGAGAGCGGATGCCCACGGAATACCAAGAGTTTAACAAAAACTGTTTTGCCTCAGCCTGCTGCCTGTTGTCCTGGCCCTGGGAATTCTGTCGGGAGCTGAGAACCAGCACGGCCAGTCCTTCCTATTCAGGGCTTCTTTGCTTACGTGGCACTTGCAGAATCCAGCCTTTGACAAACAACACTGAGGCTTTCAGGGAGCAGACAAGACAATGCAGCGGCGTCTTCCAGGGAAAATGAGAGCAGGCTTATGCTGCTGCCCACTCCAATTCATTCCAACACAGCTCAGCATTCACACAGTGCCCTGGGAAAACACGGCTCGGTGGGCACAGCTCCAGCTCCAAAGCTGCTCCCAGACAAGAGCTACCTTCAAAACACCGGGGCTCCTTTCAAGCCCCCCCGACAAAGTCAGCAGGACCCAGCAACTCTCCACTGTGAAAAGGAAAGAACTTCTCCACGCTGCAACGACTCTAAAAAAACACAGTGTGGAGGTTAAGAACTTGTCTGAATCCAGAGGGGTTTGTACAGGACAAATCTGTTTTCCCACCTTGAAAGCATCTTTAAAACGAGAGGAGCAGTATCCTCTGGATATCACGAGAGCCAGAGCTCAAGAATGCACCAGAACTAACCAAGCTAACATGCAGACAGGATTTTTCAAGTAATTTACGGAATCTTGCATTCAAGGCCAACCCCAAACCTCTCTGGAGCCACCTCCTAGCTAAGCCACGAAAGCACAAACCCAGCTTGAAGTGTAACACAGTACCTTAAACAAGCTTCCCAGGCTCTCCATGTGACAGGAGACTGCAGCGAAGCTTGGGATGAAATCTAAACCCAAAACACTCAGCCTGAAATCCAACACGACTCTCAGCTGGGACCCACCCCTTCCCACAGGGGGGAATCCACTCCTCCCTGCTCTCAGAGTCACTCAGTCACCCACGTCACGGCAGGGATGACTCTGAGCACTGCAATTCACCCCAGATGTCCTGCAGCATCTCAAGTGGCTGCAGAAAGAATTCCTCCTGGTTTTAATTGCCTCACACTCTCCCATTTAAAAATAGCTCATAAATACTGCCATATGAAGAGAATGGATATAATATGCTCTTCATACATATTTTTCTGCACATTTTTCTGCCTTCTTCCTCACAACCCCATTTGCCCAATATTTTCAGACACTAAAGATGAAAAATTAAGCAGAAGCAAAGCAAGGCCACTCAAACAGGACCAACCACAGGGCTGAACTCCCCCAGCCACGCTTGGCTGCTCCCTCCTCCCTTCAAGGCACCACAAATGTCCACTGACCTTCGGAACTAAACAAGCAAGCAGCTCCTACAGGACTTGATGGAGAAGTTCTGCCAAGCTCACATGTGGCTTTCAGGTCTGGAGATAACCAGGCACTCTGGCTATCACAGAACGTCCCAGTGCCTGGTGGCTGCCAGCCCCCCCTTCTCGCAGGCAGTGACGCCGTCACCGAGCGCTGGCACCATCCAGAGCTGCCACGCACAGCAGGAAGGACTGCTCACAACCAGCTCTTCTTCCTCTTCCTCCTTTTTGCTGATTCACAGGCAGAAAAGCAGAAGGAATCTTGTTTCCACCATTCTTCACCTTCTCAAAGCACGAGGACCAGGTAACCTCCTGAAGCTCTTGCTTTCCTCCCCGCAAACCCAACCGAGACTCAAAGCAAGGAAACGCGAGCACTCCAGCCAAAGCCAGAGCAAACGTGCACTGTCTTACTGGGAGATGGAAAACAAACAATCAGAAGGCACAGCTCGGATTTCACCGATCAATTTGGGCTTGTTCAGCCCGTGCTGGAACAGGAGCAGGCAGATTTCCACACATGCTGGGATGTGTGCCTGCATCGATGAAACTGAACCTCTGGGAAGTGAACCTTCCCCTGCAGTTCTATTTCTGAACTGAATGTTCTCCAGTGAGCCACAACAAATGCCTCCTTCTCTCTCACAACAGCAGCACGGGAGCTTTCAGGAAGAGGAGAAAGTCACCGAGCACAGCGTCAGCACAACGCTCCTTGCTCTGCTGCAATAATAAATCCCGCATTTCCAATTTGGGAGCACAGGAGGCTGGAGATAACCAATCCTACCTGCAGGAACTTGGTGCCAAATTCAGAAAAGCCTTGAAGATAAACCAAGCACCACACAGCAAAGCCTTGTTATCTCAACAGCCTCATTAATCAAATATAACACGTCTGCTCTACACCACATGGCCAAGACTCATCTGTCTGGTGAATATTTGATAGCCAGTCACAGGAAAACCCTTGAAGAGTGAGCCAGCACTGGGTTAGAAGCATTGAAACCAGAAGAAATGCACTGATGCAAAAAGCTTCTTCTCAGAAATCAACCTATGACTACAGAAAACATGAGAATTTTGTAATAAAAAACATTTATTGCTTTCACAAACATGGGCAGTTTCAGACATTTGATGGCTGTTCCTTCCCAAGCAAGCTCACTGAAGCGACTGAGGAAGCAGAGGTTGGTGCTCCTGCTGCAGGGTCAGAACCTGCAGAGGTGAAGGAAAGGCTCCTGGAGATGTGCATGTCACAGAACACCCTGGCCTGGGCACGGGGACAATCTGCTCCCAGCTCCAGAGGGATGAGTCCACACAGAGAGGGCTAAACAGCAAACTGAGAAGGAAATTCAGCCTGTGGAAAGGATTTGCTCGTCCCTGCCTCACTCTTGGCTCCCTCCTGGGCAGGCTGGTGAGGTGTGGCGGGCAGCAGGAGCTCTGATCCTCACCCACAGCATCCTGGCACAGGCTGCCAGGACCCCAAACCCTCTGCAGCCCACCCAGCCACCTCCGCCTGCCCCAGCCCTGCTGCTCTCCCTTCACACCCCGAGGAGTGCCAGGGCACAGCCTGGCAGGTTGTGGCACACAGCCTGCACCAGGGACAGTCCCCTGGGTCACCCCAGCAATCCAAAGCATCCCGATGACAACACCTCCTGGGAAGGCACTGGCCAGAGGGTGACACGCTTCTGACACCACACAGTGACCCAGGAATTCCAAGGGGAAAGCACTCAGCACGGATTTCTGCCACAAGGACTGAATTCTGCTGCTTTTACAGCTCTGAAGTTCTACCAGTGCTGGGGGGGTAAAATGGATTTGAAAAATACCCCCCAAAATGGATCACAGACCAGCCCCCAGCAGAGAGGGGCTCTGAACAGAATATCAAACAGAATATTAACAGAATATTAAAAACAACCCCCCAATCTCTGTGTAGATCAGGAGAAGGAACAAGCACAACCTTCCACTGAGCTCTGGGGACAGAAGACCCCTCAAGGGACAAAAGCACATCACGAAAAATCTGCTGTGATGGGTCTGGCTTTGCCCGGGGGTGAGGGCAGCAGAGCAGAGCAGAGCAGGGAGTTTGTGAACACACTCCCCGCTTTATCTTGATTCTGTTTGCGGTGCCACAAACATCAAGGGCTGCAAAAATACCATTTCCTTTCTGCAGTCTGACTTTCCTGGCACCTCAGAAAACCAACTGTAATGCACTGAGGGCATAAACTGTGCTTTGTTGCTGTGCTTCCTGGCAGTCTGCTGCCGGCAGCGTCTCCAGAGACAGATTCCTTGTGACACCAAAGTCACAGACATCATCAGTCTCGTGCTTCCTCTCCACTTTCCTATTTTCCTTTCTCTTCTCCGTCCTCCACCAAACAAGGAATTATCTTACGTATCTGCAAACTCTAAAGAGTCAGGGGGAAAAAAGTGAGGGTTTTCCCCTGAAGAGGAAGGAAGGCAGCTCAAACACTGACTCAAACACTGCCCCTGAACAATTCCTTCACTTCTGGGACTCCCAGTGACAAGTTTAATTAAATTATTAAACCTTCCCGCCAGGGCTGTGCCTCCACATATACAACAACACAGAAATGCACAGCCCAGCCAGGAAACAGGACAGGGGATCTCTTCTAGGGCAGAGCGAACACTATTAATCCCAGATCCACACTCCTTACCCAGCTCTGCCACAGCCTGTGCAGTCACAGTTAACTGGCAGCATCAGCCAGCCTGCCTGTGCAGTCATGCTGCAAACACGTCAAACTGGCATTTAAATAAATAAATATAGAAGCACAGAATCATTCAGGTTGGAAAAGACCTCTGAATCATCAAGTCAACCTCTGACTAATCACCACCTTGTCAACCAGACCAGGGCACTGAGGTCCACATCCCAGGAGCTTCTTGATCACCTCCAGGGATGGATGGATGGATGGTGGGGACTCCAGCACCTTTTCACATCTAAAAGCTTCCCAGTCTCTTTTCTGCCCTGGGACAGCTTCTTCCTCTTACACTTGCTGATATCTCTGACAAAACACTGACCTTGGAAAGGCCACCAGCTCTCAGCAGGAACAATTCCTCCCTCAACAAGGAATTGTTTCTTTGGGGGGGGTGGGGTTTGGAAAAAAATGCAAAGGAATTAAAAAAAAAATTCTGAAGTATCCAAGGAACTCTTCTGTAGCAGTCTCTTGTATTTAACCACCTCTCAGGCAACAAATGCCAGAGGCATACAAATCCTGCACTTGTGAGCAAGTCAAGGCACAGGGAAGAGAGAAACCCTGAGTCACTCCCAGCACAGAGAGGGCTGTGGGTGGGAGATCACAGCCCTGCTCCTCCCGGGAAGGACAGGGATGTGCTGGTGGGAGAACATAGCTCCTAGGAACGACAGGGATGTGCTGCTGGGAGAGCACAGCTCCCGGGAAGGACAGGGATGTGCCGGTGGGAGAGCACAGCTCCCGGGAGGGACAGGGATGTGCTGCTGGGAGAACACAGCTCCCAGGAAGGACAGGGATGTGCCGGTGAGACAGCACAGCTCCCGGGAGGGACAGGGATGTGCCGTGGAGTCACCGGGCAGGCCGGGCAGTGTCGCTGCTCTGCTCCCAGCGCATCCTTCCCGCACGTCGGCTGCAATTCGGGTCACGCTCATCGGGCACGGGCTGCTCGGGGTGGGCACGTCCAGACACAGCGCACAGGGCTCTCAGGGAGGGTATCCACCGCGGAATTACTGACTGAATTACCCATGGAATTACCGACGGAATTCCTGACAAACTCCCCGGCACCGCAGAGGGACAGGGCAGGGCAGGACCTGGAGGCCAGCGGTCCAAGCTGGGAGCGAACAGCCCCGTCCCCCAGCAGGGCACCGAGCTCCCCCGGCCCGTCCCTCACACACAGGGCTGATGGCTGCACCGCCACCTCCCTGCCCCCTCCAGCACCCACTCCGGGAGGAATTTCCTCCCGAAAAACACGCTGTGCCCCGGGCGGAGCATCCAGCGGGGGTTCTACGACAACAGAGGCGGACCACGCGTCCAGCTCCCCGCCAGTGACGGGAAAACGCCCGGGCTGGGGGCGAGGCCGGCAGAGCGGCGGGCAGGGCCCGGGACACCCCCGAGCCCCGGGACAGCTCCGAGCCCCGGTGCGGCCCCGAGCCCCGGTACAGCTCCGAGCCCCGGAGCGGCCCCGAGCCTCGATGTGCGGCTCCCAGCCCCGGGACACCCCCGAGCCCCGGAGCGGCCCCAAGCCCCGGTGCGCGGCCCCGAGCCCCGGGACAGTCCCGAGCCCCGGTGCGGCCCCGAGCCTCGGTGTGCGGCTCCCAGCCCCGGAGCGGCCCCGAGCCCCGGTGCGCGGCTCCCAGCCCCGGGACACCCCCGAGCCCCGGCGCGGCCGGGCCGGCCCCGTTCCCGGGGGCGCGGAGGGGCCAGGGCGGCGGCCGAGCGGGGCCGCGCCGTGACTGACACCGCCCGCGGCCAATGGGAGGAGGCGGCGGCGCGGCCGCGGCCAATGGCGCGGCCGGGGGCGGGCCGTGCCCCGTTGTCAATTGGCAGCCAATGGCGGTGCCCCCGGCCCGCCGCCCGCCCGGCCCGCGCCCCCCGCCCGCCGCGCCGGGCCCCGCTCACCGGGCCCGCCGGGACCCCCGCCCGGCCCCGGGCCCGCCGCTCACCGCAGCGCATCCCCCGCCACAGCCGCCGCCGCGCGCGCCCGCCGGGGCCGCCTCATCCGGGGACTGGGGGGCGAGGCCGGCGCGTGATGCAAGAGGCGGCGGGGGCGGCGGCGGCGGCGTCACACCAGGGGCGGGCCTGGGCGGGACCGGCGCCTGTCCCGGTCCCGGTGCCCGCTGCCAGTGCCCGGTCATGGTCCCGGTGCCAGTGCCCGGTCCTGGTCCCGGTGCCTGCTACTGGTGCCCGGTGCCCGGCGCCAGTGCCCGTGCCCGGTGCCCGCTGCCGGTGCCCGGTGCCTGGTCCCGGTGCTCACTGCCAGTGCCCGGTCCTGGTCCCGGTGCCTGTTACTGGTGCCCGGTTCCCGGCGCCGATGCCCGGTGCCGGTGCCTGGCCCAGTGCCCGCTGCCGGTGCCCGGTGCCTGGTCCCGGTGCCCGCTGCCAGTGCCCGGTCATGGTCCCGGTGCCAGTGCCCAGTGCCGGTCCTCGTGCCCGGTCCTGGTCCCCGTGCCTGTTACTGGTGCCCGGTGCCCGTGCCCAGTGCCCGCTGCCGGTGCCCGGTGCCGGTCCCCGTTTTGTACGGCGAGGGGATCCCCCCCTGCTCGCCCCCATCCCGCCGGCCGCCCCCGGGGTGAGGTGGTCCCGCCCTCCTCCCTTTGCGGCCTTCGGGAACTGCCCCCTGCCCGTTCTCTGCCGCTCTGTCCCCGGTGACCCCGGGAGGGGCACACCCAGGCATGGGCATGGACACCGACCCTGCCTCGGGGTCCTGGACATCATCCCTCAGGGTGCTGGACATCCATCCCTCGGGATCCCAGGACATCCATCCCTCGGGATCCCAGGACATCCTCTGCAGGACTCCCCAGGCGAGCCGTGCCCCGCGGCTCCCTGGCACTGCCCCGATACTCCGGCTGGCTTTGCGTGTTTAATTTCCTGCCCTGTAATTAGCTGCCCGGGCTGTCATTAGCGGCGGGCGGGGCAGCCGGGGTGCCCTCGTGCTTCCCTCACCGCGGGTGCTGCTGCGGGGCCCAAACCGCATCTGGGACAGCCGGTGCCATCCCTGGGCACGCTGCCACCACGGCCACCGCTGTCCCCATAGCCACGTCCCATCCATTCGTACATGCGGCTGTCCATGCTGCTCCTGCACTTCCCGTGGGTTGCTGCAGACAGCCGGAGGATGGAGAGCACACACCTCTCCCTGGCTGTCCCCTGACCCCTGCACGGGCCTTTCTGGGTCACCCTGTGTCACCTGGGTGTTGCACAAGGCCACCAGTGCTGCTGAGCCACGCCAGAGCAGCGGGCTAGGGCACAGCACGGCCCCGAGAGACCCGAATCAGGGGCTGTGCTGGGAGGGGAAGCCGCAGCGCCCAGGAGCGGGCATCCCTTGGTGACAAACTGCCTTGGAGCTGCCTGGTCCCTCCTGGGAACAGAGCCCTGCTCCCAGAGCACCTTCCCTGTGCTCTCTGCTCCCAGAGGCTGATGCTGCTGCTGCCACAGCCTGGACCGAGCCACCCAGCTGTCCCTTCTCCCCTCCACCGGCCACCCCCAGGCCCGCTGACCCCTCTCTGGAGGGCAGCGAGGGACATCGAGGTGGCTGTGCAGAATCTGGAGGCCTGTCTGGGAGAAATCTCCTTTCCCAGGATCCTGAGCTGCTCCGAGGTGGGAAGAGGCAGAGCTGGAGGTGCTGGGCTCTGGGGCAGGCTGGGCACCCGTGCTGGTGATGGGTGGGCACGCTGCAGTCTGGAGCAGGCTGGCTGCCCGGTTTTCCCACTGCACCTCAGGAGCCAGCAGGAAATGTGCACGGAGTGTTCCACACGGTCTTGGAGCAGCTTTTTCAGTGGCAGAGCAGCCCCTCCCAGGGGACAGGAGTGTCCCTGCGAGGGAATGAGCCAGGCTGAGGTGTCACTGGAGCTGTGGGGGTGGGAGGGCTCTCTGCACATCTGTCTGCACCTCTGGCCGTCTGTCCGTGGGAACCGGGGGTCAGTGCTGCCCCACAGCGGGAGGTTCGGGTGCCTCACTGCTGGATAACGCTCAGACCTGCGCTCAGAACCCAGATCCTGTCTTGGAAATGAGTTCTGTGAATGGGGTCTCTCCTTTATAGAAAAGCCGAGGCTGTGTCTATTCAATCCTAACCCAATTCCCCACGGAATTCATCTCCCACCGGCCCACGCAGCAGCACCCCCCGGTTTCTTTCCTCTCCAGCGGGATCCTTGAACCCCCAGCCTGTGTTCCCCGTGTTTTCCCAGGGAGCGCAACTCTGCCATCCTCTGGCAGCCGGCTGCTGGCAAAGGCCGGGCACAGGCGGGGCTGCGGTCCCAGGGGTGCGGGATGTGTTCCCAGAGGTGCGGGATGTGTTCCCAGAGGTGCGGGATGCGTTCCCAGGGGTGCAGGATGCTTTCCCAGGGGTGCGGGAGGCATTCCCAGGTCTGTCTGTCTGTCTGTGCCGGGAGGGAGCAGGGGATGTCTGTCTGTCTGTCTGTGCCGGGAGGGAAGGTGCAAGCCCAGCCCTCGGACAACCTCCCTGAGACGTTTCACCTTCACTTGCTGATGCTCTTCACAGAACTAGGATAGAACTGGGATAGGAGAACTGGGATGGGGAGAACTGGGATAGGAGAACTGGGATAGGGAGAACTGGGATGGGGATAGGGAGAACTGGGATGGGGATAGGGAGAACTGGGATGGGGAGTGGAGCAGCCCAACCCCAAGCCTGGGAGGTGAGGAAGGTGCTGCTGTGCTCAGGGTGCCCTTGCAGGCAGGGACAGGGGCCCAGGGCTGGAGAGGCACCCCTGAGGGCCCCGGGGTGCCCTGTGGGAATGCACCCACACTTCCATGTGAGCCCTGCGCCCACGGTGACTGATACTGCTGCCCACGCCCGGCCCTGCCCGAGCCTGCCCGGCCCATGGAAGCACTGCCTGGCCTTTCCCACTGGGCTCTGGGTGCCAGGGGTCACCCCCTGCCCTCTGTCCCACAGAGCCCTGGCATCTTCCTGAATGCCCTGGGGCCACTGTGTGCATGCCAGGACCTCCTCGGTCCAGATCCCTGCACGATGAAATGTGGGCTGGGGGTGCCGGGGGGCTCCAAAGTGCTGGGCTGGGGCAGCTTTCACGGGGCTGTGCCCTCCTGGCCAGCCGAGGCACAGGTGGCACTCTGGGACAGGTGAGGTGCCAGGAACCTTCTCCGGGGGGTTTCCACCTGCATGAGCCACCTGCAGTGCTGAGGTGGCCAAGGACGGGGCTGCTGCCGCCCTGAGCCCGTGGAGCTCCTGCTGCACCCAGAGCAGGGTTGGGGAGGTGCTGGAAGCCCCCCGGGCAGGGACACAACAGCAGAGCCCCCGTGGGTGCTCAGGGGGCTTTGCTGGGCCTTTCAGTGGCACCCAGGGGGGCAGTGATGGGGGTGAGGAGGGCAGGAAGATGAAGGCAGGCTGAGGGACAGGCAGTGATGAGGGTGAGGAAGATGAGGGCAGGGTGAGGGACGGGCAGTGATGGGGTGAGGAAGATGAGGGCAGGGTGAGGGACAGGCAGTGATGGGGTGAGGAGGATGAAGGCAGGGTGAGAGACAGGCAGTGATGGGGTGAGGAAGATGAGGGCAGGGTGAGAGACAGGCAGTGATGAGGGTGAGGATGATGACGGCAGGGTGAGGGACGGGCAGTGATGAGGGTGAGGAAGATGAAGGCAGGGTGAGGGATGGGCAGTGACGGTGAGGAAGATGAGGGCAGAGAGAGGGACAGGCAGTGATGAGGGTGAGGAAGATGAGGGCAGGGTGAGGGATGGGCAGTGATGGGGTGAGGAAGATGAGGGCAGAGAGAGAGATGGGCAGTAATGGGGGTGAGGAGGATGAGGGTAGGGTGAGGGACAGGCAGTGATGGGGTGAGGAAGATGAGGGCAGGGTGAGGGATGGGCAGTGATGAGGGTGAGGAAGATGAGGACAGGGTGAGGGATGGGCAGTGATGGGGTGAGGAGGATGAGGACAGGGTGAGGGATGGGCAGCGGGGGTGAGTAGCCCAGCCCCGCTGCAGGAGCCGTGCAGCACCCGTGCAGCTCCGGGCACCCTTTCAGTGCCGGGCTCTGCCGTGACCCACGCAGGCAGCCCCGTGCCCGTGTCCCTCCCCACGCCTGACGCAGCCGCTCGCCCACTCCTGGCCCGGCGGGAGCCTTTAAGGGCGGACGGGTTCCTCCGCATTCACTCCGCGGGAGCTGCCCCGGCCCTGCCCGGCCCGGCCCGGCCCCGCTCCGCCTTTGCGCAACGCGCCCGGCTCGGCCGCGGCCGCTCCGGCTGTCCCCGCGTGTCCCGGAGCTCTCCCGGGCCAGCCCCGGGCTGGGGACAGCCCTGCATGGAGGGGCCGCTGTCCTGGGGCCCCACAGGTAAGGGGATTTTGGGGTGAGGGAGCGAGCAGCGGTCCCTGATCCCTCCCAAGGCAGGGCAGGAGCCGGACCCGCTCCCTGCCTGGGGAGGGCTCCTGGTGCCCGGGGCAGCGGTGACAGCCCTGCAGGAGGAGGGCAGCACCTCAGAGGTGCCCGTGGCACAGTGAGAAAAGGGGTGCAGGCTGGGCAGGGTGTGGAAACGCCACCAGGTCTGGAAAAACCTGCAGCTTCCTGCGGGTCTGGCTCCTGAGCTGGTGTGGAATGGCACAGCCTGAGCCTGGAATGGCACACTTTCTGCCTGGAATGACACAGCCTGAGCCTGGAATTTCTGTACCAGGAATGGCACAGCCTGAGCCTGGAATGGCACAGTTTGTGCCTGGAATGGCACAGTTTGTGCCTGGAATGGCACAGCCTGAGCCTGGAATTTCTGTACCAAGAATGGCACAGTTTGTGCCTGGAACGGCACAGCCTGAGCCTGGAATTTCTGTACCAGGGATGGCACAGCCTGAGCCTGGAATGGCACAGTTTGTGCCTGGAATGGCACAGCCTGAGCCCAGAATTTCTGTACCAGGAATCCCACAGGCACGGCTCTGTCCAGGGGCTCAGCCCCCTGCCCCGTGCTCTGGCAGCCAGGGATTTGTACCCTGCAGGGCTCTGGAGCTGAGACCCTCCCAGCATCCCTGCCCAGGGGCAGCACGGGGAGGCTGAGAGCAGCCAGGCCATGCCAGGCACCCATGCCAGGCTGAGAGGGTGAAGGGCAGTGCCGAGAGAGCAGCGAGGAGGAGATGGCTGGTGCCTGATTAACCCTTCGTGCCTCTCCCAGCACAGCGGCGATGTCCGAGCCCTGCCCTGGCAAGGAGGCTGCCCCGGCCGAGTGCCCCGTGTGCTATGAGAAGTTCCAGCCCCTGGAGGCCACGCACCGGCGGCTCAGCTGCGGCCACAGCTTCTGCCACGACTGCCTGGTGAAGTGCCTGCTGGCGGCCAAGCTGGACGGGCATGTCCAGAGCAGCATCGTGTGCCCCGTGTGCCGCTTCGTCACCTTCCTCAGCGAGAAGAAGGCTCCGTGGCCACCCAAGGGTACACTGGAGGTGCCCCTGTCGCCGTCCTCCCTGTGCCAGCTGGCCAAGAGCGAGGCCAGCAACGTGCTGGTGGTGCCCAGCCACTTCGTGATGCCGCTGCAGAGCCCGGAGCGGTGCCCGGCAGGGCTGCTGGCACGGGATGCCCACATCTTCATCATCAGCAAGCGCGGGGTGCCGCTGCTGGCCGGGAGGGGCGGCGAGGACGCGGCTGTGCCCGGTTCGGCGGTGCCCGGTTCGGCGGTGCCTGGTTCAACAGTGCCCGGTTCGGCGCTGGCACTGCAGTGCTGCCAATCCCCCATGGGCCTGGCCGTGATGCTCGTCCTGACCGTGGCTCTGCTGGCGGCCGTGCTGCCCTGGCTGCTGCTGGTCAGGAGGGAGCTGTAGCCCCGCGGGGACACCGTGTGGGTGTCACTGCTGCTGGCACCCAGCTGGGCTGGAGCCGCTCTCCGAGGGCTCCTGGAGAAAGCCCAGATCAGCTCCGGGTGGAGCTCTCTCAACCTGCCGGGAACTGAGCGGGCTCTCAGACCTTCCTGCAGCTCTCCAGCTGCTCAAAGCGTCGCTGGTGGCATTTTCTGTCCTTTCTGGTTAAGATGGGGACAGCCACAGCCCGCTGGTGGCTTCCTGCGGGGTGTCTGTGGAGGGATCCTGCCACACCCTGGGACAGCCCCTGCAGGGCTGTGCTGCTCCTGCCCAGCTCTGCTGGCACAGCCAGGGGCTCTGGGGGTCCAGGCTGCCAGGCTGTGGGGCTCTGGAGGTCCCAGGGCATCAGGATCATGGAGATGCATCCAGCCTGGAGCAGAAACTCATGGCTTCCATCCCGGGGTGGACAAAGCAGAGCCTGCAGCTGCCGGGCACGAGGGCAGAGGATGGAGAGAGTGATTCTGGCCCTGCCGAGCTCAGCCTCCCCTGTGCCAGCCTCCCTGCAGTGCCAAGGGGTGGGAGGGGAGCCCAGCTCACCCCACAGGCAGCCCCAGCCGTGCCCTGCCTCGCTGAGCGCCCCATGGTCGTGGCCACCCTCCCATTGTCACAGCGTCCCTCCTGCCCCAAGGGACAGGGGCTGGGGGCAAACCCAACTTCTGGCCATCAGGGGGGCAGATTTGGGATCCCACCCTGCTGTCCTTGCTGGAGCCCTGTGGCAGAGTGGCACTTCCTTGTCCCCGTATCCCACTCCTGAGGTCTCACGGCCAGGGGCTCATTTCACCTGTGCCAACCCTCCTGGCTTTGCCCTCTTTGGGACTGGTGCCACCTGAGGGGACCCCCGTGACAGCCCCCAGGCCAGGGAGGGCAGTGGGCAGCAGGGGGGCACAGCTGGGCTTTGGGAAACCCCGAGCCTGCTCTCAGGGGAGGGGGAAGGGGCCTGCTGGACACCCCTGCTGCTGCTGGGGCACCTCGGGGCACTTGTCCCCAGGCCAGGCTGCACCTTCATCACCTTTGTCCTCCTGACCCAGTCCCTGTGCCACAGGGGCTGCTCTCACTCTGTCACCTGGGGATGTGTCACTTCATGGGCACCCAGGGTGTGCAGGACATCCCTGACTGTCACCCCAGGGTGAGCAGTGAGCAGGAGATCCCCCACTGTCACCCCAAGGTGAGCAGGACGTCCCTCACTGTCACCCCAACATGAGCAGAATGTCCCTGACTGTCACCCCAGGGTGAGCAGGGCATCCCCCACTGTCACCCCAACATGAGCAGAATGTCCCTGTCACCCCAGGGTGAGCAGGACGTCCCTGCCTGTCCCCCACAGGAGGTGGCAGTGGGGCACAGGGCCGGCCCAGGGTTCCCATGCTCCCGAGGGAGGCACAAACAGGGCCAGCAGTGCCACCAAGGTGGCTTTGGGACTGGACAGGGCTTTTCAGGGCACCAAATCAGGACAGCGTGGGGCTGGGGAGGGGGAGCAGTGTGGGGCAGGGGAGCTGGTGGTGTCCCCTGTCACAGCTGGGGACACTGCCCTGCTGCCCTGCTGCCCCCTGTGATGTTCCTGCACTCCCCCAGCCCTGTGCCAGTGTCCCCACCCAGAGCTGGGGTGCCGTGACCCCGGCCCCGTGTGAGAAGTGCCTGAGACACCGCACTGGAATGGAAACCCTGTTTCATAAGAAATGGTGACCTGGCCATGACGTGGGCCTGCCCTATTTAACAATAAACCCTATTATTATGATCTGTCTGGGCAGTCTGCAGGGTGCCAGGGCAGCAGCCCCTCTGTGGGAGGGGGCACAGGGCGGCTGCAGCCCCGGAGGTATTTGGGAGGGCAGTGGGCACTGGCAGAGCTGCGGTGGCAGCACTGGGAGGGACTGGGGGTGTCTGGTGCTGTGCCAGGGCCGGGCACGGGGCAGGGGGACAGCCAGGGAGGCCAGGAGGGTGTTTCCCAGGGGTGGCACTGCTCGGCCAGGATGGCAGGGCTGGCAGGGGTCACCCGAGGCCGTGACCAGCGGTGTGCATGGCCAGGTGACCCAAGAGCCCATTAGGGCGAGAATTGCCTGTCGATTATTGCCAATTATTGCCTCATGGAGTGCGGGGAGGCCGCCAACAGCTCTCCCACAGTGGGGCAAGGCCGGGCTGTGCACAGATCCCGGCTAATGGCCCTGCAGGAGAGAGCCCCCCCTGCTCCCTGCGCTGGGGCTGGCACAGCCCCTGTCCCTGGCACCCCCTGCCCTCCTTCTGCCTGGAGCTGGGCCCTGTGCAGCCCGTGCTGTACCCCAGCTGTGCCCCAGCTGTGCCCTGCTCAGCCCATGCTGTGCCCCAGCTGTGCCAGCTGTGCCCTGCTCTCCCTGGGCTGATCTCAGCTGGGCTGTGGCTGCTCCATCCCCATCCTGGCTGGTGCCAGCGTGTGCCAGTGCCCGATGGAGCAGCCCTGCCCGGCCCAGCTCTGCTCTCTGCAGGGTGGCAGCAGCTCCCAGCCCCGGCAGAGGCCGCCTCGGGCCTGGTTAGTGGCAGGGGGTGGCAGTGCCATGGCACGGGGGTGGCAGCGGTGGGAATTGGGCAGCCCAGGAGTGCTGGCTGGGCAGGCAGGGCTGCAGCTCCATTAGGGAGCGGCTCCGAGAGCCCCGGCTCCATCAGCCAGAGCTGAGCATCAATAATTGAGCAGCAGGATCCAGCCCGAGAGCCGCAGCTGGGCTGGGATTGGGCTGGGAACTGGGGCTGGGAATTGGGGCTGGGACTGGGGCTGGGACTGAGCTGGGGTTGGGAATTGGGGCTGGGCTGGGCTGGGATTGGGGCTGGGAATTGGGGCTGGGCTGGGTTGTAATTGGGGCTGGGCTGGGCTGGGCTGGAATTGGGGCTGGGATTGGGGCTGGGCTGGGATTGGGGCTGGGATTGGGGCTGGACTGGGACTGAGCTGGGATTCGGGCTGGGCTGGGCTGGGATTGGGGCTGGGAATTTGGGCTGGGCTGGGCTGGGCTGGAATTGGGGCTGGGAATTGGAGCTGGGCTGGGAATTGGGGCTGGGACTGAGCTGGGACTGGGCTGGGCTGGACTGGGCTGATCTGGGGCACACTTGGGCTGAGACTGGGACTGGGGCTGGGTTGGGCCAGGCCAGTGTGGGACACGGACAGGGGGTGACACCGACCTGGCTGTCCCTAACCCTGGGGCTCTCCTGCCAAGATCCTCTTGGCTCCATCTCCAGCATGTGGTAGATTCCCTTCTCCACTGCCCACGCTTCTCCACTGCCCACCCACTCCATTGTCCATCCTTCCCCATTGTCCACCCTTTCCCCCTGCCCACTCCACGACCCTGGGCGGGTTCCTCTCCTGGACCTTGCAGAGCAGGGCGGTTTCTGTGCCCACAGGCTTGGCAGTGCCTGAGGGGCTCAGCTGCTGTCCCCACTGTGACCCCAGTGCCCACGGCAGGGGTGGGCATCCCAAAATGAGGGATCACAGGGACAGGAGCGGGGCTGGAGCTGTCCCCTAGTGAGGGGCCGATTTCTGTGGCTGCTGGCAGGGGACAAAGCTGAGGTGCAGAGGAGGGTGGGGCCAGCCCAGGTCACTCCAGCACCCCGGGTTACTCCAGCACCCCGAGTTCACTCCAGCACCCCGGGTCACTCCCCACTCAGCTGCCTGGGCAGGATTTACACTTCCCTGTGTCATCCTTACACATCCTTTTGTCAAAAATTCGGTGATCTACCATGAAAAAACCCTCTGGAATGTCACCAGAGGTGTCTGCACTCTTCTTCCAGTAATGGCTGGCAGAGAGCAGCAAATGCATTTTCTGGGAAGAGCTTCTTTTGAGCAGGTTTTGCCTTAACTCAGGTCCCATTTTGCAGCAGGAAATGGAGCTGGCAAAGCCATTTTCCCCATCTCCAGAGTGATTTATCTGCTGGCTGACGGCAGATCTCCCCTGTGGCAGAGCTGTGCCTGACCAGGAGCACTGCAGGGCACCGGTGCCCTGTGCACACCCAGACCCTGGCACAGGAGCCCTGGCCAGCCCGTCCTGCCAGGCTGGAGCCCAGCAGGGTCTGGAATCCCCCGTGGGGTGCCCGAGGGCACTCAGGGCTTCAGAGAGGAGCTGGGAAATATTCCTGGCGGGCAGGAAAGCCTGGGGTCACTTCACTCAACTCTAAGGTGTGGAGACTCATAGGAAACCCTCCTTGGATGCCTCAGGGCTTGGAGCTGGCAGCCCCTGGCACATCCCAGGGTTTAGGTGGCTGCTGTGGCTCCTCAGGGGTCCCTGTGGAGCATCTCCTTGGGGACAGCTGGTGGCTGTGGCTGCTGGGGTGAGGTGCCACCTCCAGCCGATGCAAGGGCAGGTCCCGAGGTGTTCCTTGCCCCTGGAATGCCCAGCCTCCGCTGTGGTGGCCCCGAGTGACCGCACTGAGCCGTGGTGGCCCTGGCAGGGAAAGGAGCAGGAGCTGGCCCGGAGCTGCTCCTGGGGGGTCGCACCCCAGGATCCCCGGGCAGGGTTAAATCCTGGGGAGGGTTAAATGGCAGCTCTGATCCCATCCCCGCAGCTCGGACCCATCCCCGCAGCTCAGACCCATCCCCACAGCTCGGACCCATCCCCACAGCTCGGACCCATCCCCGCAGCTCAGACCCATCCCCACAGCTCGGACCCATCCCCGCAGCCCCGGTTCCATCCCCGCAGCCCCGGTTCCATCCCCGCAGCCCCGAGCCCATCCCCGCAGCCCCGAGCCCATCCCCGCAGCTCGGGTCCCATCCCCGCAGCTCAGACCCATCCCCGCAGCCCCGAGCCCACCCCCGCAGCTCGGGTTCCATCCCCGCAGCTCGGCGCTGCTGGACCCGCCCGGGGAGCCCCTGCTCGGGGGGCTGGAGCTGTGCAGCCCGGCAGAACCTGTTCCTCCAGGATGTGCGCATCCTGCCGCTCCCCCACCCCAGCAGCCGGCTGCAGCAGGACTTTGGGGTCCCCTGGCAGCTCAGGGGTGCCGGTGCCTCCCCAGCCCGCGGGCAAAGGCGGCTCGAGAGGCAGCAGGGGCAGCCCAGAGCCTTTATTCCATCAAACCCCTGCTGCAGGCTGTGCCCTTCCTGCATGTGCGGCTCTGGCCGCGGCTGGCAGGGCTGGCACTGCCCGGGGCGCTGGGCAGGGCTGCAGAGACAGCACGGCCGCTTATCGCGCTGATAAGGCTCCCGATCTCCTGACAGCGGCTTCAGAGTCCAGGAACCTCGGAAACCTCGGAGATCCTCTCGACATGATTTTCTATTTGCAGGGGAAAGAATGAATCCGTGTCCCACTGTCCATCCTTCAGGGGGTGCCCACCCTTCAGGGGATGTCCATCCTTCAGGGGATGTCCATCCTTCAGGGGGTGCCCACCCTTCAGGGGATGTCCATCCTTCAGGGGATGTCCATCCTTCAGGGGGTGCCCACCCTTCAGGGGATGTCCATCCTTCAGGGGATGTCCATCCTTCAGGGGGTGTCCATCCTTCAGGGGGTGCACACCCTTCAGGAGGTGCCCACCCCTCAGGGGCTGTCCTGAGCAGCTGTGCCAGTGTCCCCAGCACAGCAGGGTGACACAGCTCCCTCCGTGCTGGCTGTGCAAGGGCAGCACAGCAGAGTCCTTGTGGGGGGCTGGCTCCTCTTCCTCTGCTCCCTCCTGACATCCACGCCTGTCCTTTCCTCTCTCCCTATAAACAGAGTGAAAGGAGATGTGAATGCCTTAAAAAACCCTGATAATAGCTCAGAAATGGAAGTTCTCTTCAATAAAGATGTGTAGAATCAAAGCACTGGGACTCAGGGGCCCATTTCCCAGCAGACAGAGGCCCCAGCAGACCCTGGGGTGCCAAAGGGATGCCCAGGGATACTCAGGATCAGCCCAGCTCCAGATGTGATGAAGCTGGTAACACTGGGGCACAACAGGAGGATTTCCCCTGTCTGGAAGATCCAGACTCACCAGCAAACCCCTGGCACTGCCCTGGTCCCTGTCCTGGTGCCTGTGAGGAGGAGTGGGAAGGAGCCCAGGCTGCTGAGAGCAGGGGCAGGGCACAGAGGGGACTCCTGCAGCCACCCCACAGCATTTTGGGGCTGCGGTTTCGGTGCTGCTGGGCCACTGGTGTCACTGGGGTGCCTGGGGAGCACAGACTGGTCAGGGAGCAGAGGCAGCTCTGGCTCCCAGTGCCCACGTGGGCTCGGTGCCATGGCCACGGGGCTGTGCCAAGCCCAGGGATCTGGAACCACCCCCAGGCTGGAGCAAACAGAGCAAGCACAAAACCACAAAACCCCAGAGGGAAAGATAAGCCCTTGAGTCAATATCTCACTGGGGCTGGGCCAGTGCTCCCAGTGCAGCGAGCACAGGGGCTTCACCCACTCCTGTTCTCCCACTGGGGCTGTCAGGAGTGGGCTCTGCCCCAGCCTGAGGGTCTGGGACAGCAGCAGAGCGAAGGAGCCGCGTCCCTGGCATGGGAAGGATGCTGGGGACCATCAGAGCTGCTGCTCTG